AGTTCTCTGTAATTTGCCTATAAGAGGGAGTTCTGAAGCTCCTACCCAACACCTTTCAAAATCTCAGCTGCATGTGCTTCTGGAGGCAGCTGCTGCACCAGGGGAGCTTAGACTTTGAAGTCATCAGACAAGACCTGGGTTTGATTTGCAGCTTTGCCTCCAAACTTTCATGGTGTGACTCTGAATAACTGACTTCATCTACCTGTGTGTGTTTCGACTTCCTTAACTGTAAAATAGGTTTCTGCAGAGACTTTAATAAGAAAACCCATATAAATCACTGGAACCTAAGTGATAGATCCCTGCCCACTCCTGTGGTCAGCTCCAGATTGCATTTTATATTAGAGGAAAACAATGCTGTCACTATCACCACTTTCTACCTGCATAATTGATGCAGTAGCTATCATCCAAAAACACTGCTATTCACATTTATTTTATACAAAATGTAAGAGAGATCATGTTATGGGATTTGTTGATTGCGGTAGGATATGTTTCACAGGTTCTGGTAGGAGTGAGGAGAGTCTCAGTTCTTCTTCTAAACCATTTGTTCTACTAACATCAAGGAACGGTGAGGGCAGAAGCAGGAGCATTAAGAGGAGAGTGAGGGTGAGGGTGTGTACTTTGATTTCAGTCAAGTGTATATATTTGAATCCTGCCTCTGACACTTAGGAGCTCTGGTAGCATAGTACCTAAGGCATTTTGACTGCTAACCAGAAAGCAGGAGGTTCAAACCCACCAGCCACTCTTCTGAAGGGAGATTGGGCAATTTCCTTTTGTAGTGATACTGCCTCAGAAACCCAAGGAGGGGTCACTATAAGTCAGATCTGACTCGATGGCAGTGAGTTTGGTTTCAGTTTGATGTAGCCTACAAACAAGATTCTAAAGCTATTATCAGAGAGCAAAGATGACACCTGTGTTGGGTATGTACCTTTTTAGAGATACATTAAAGAACACTAGATACACAAGAAATGTGATTTTCTATCATCGAGTTACTGAATCAATGGTGTACTAAAGGTGCTTTATGTTGGCTTATAATGGATTTCTAGTTATGGAATTCCAGTTATGGAATGGGAGCTCTGGTGCCGTAGTGCCTAAGGCATTTGACTGCTAACCAGAAGGCTGGTGGATCAAACCCACCAGATTCTCCTTGGAAGGAAGATTGGGCAATCTACTTCCGTAGTGATACAGCCTTGGAAACCCGAGGAGGGATCGCTATGAGTCAGATCTGACTCAAGGGCAGTGAGTTTGGTATTTTTTGGTTTTCTGACACTTATTGCATTTGTGACCCTGGACAAATGCATTCAATTTTCTAACTTGTTTGTTGTTTTTAATCTATAAAGTGGAAATAATTATAGTACCTCTCAGCTAGTGTTGATTCAATGATTAAATGAAACAAGGCATGTAAGGCACAAAGCACAATGACTGGCACAAAATAAACACTCAGTAAATGTGAGCTAAGGGGCCCTTCGTTCTCTGGGTGGCACAAATATTGTTTATGCTCAATTAGAAACCTAAACGTTAGTGGTTCAAATTCACCCAGCAGCTTTGCAGAAGAAATGCATAATGATCTACTTCCATAAAGATTGCTGTTGTTAGTTGCCCTCGGGTTGATTCTGACTCATAGTGACCCCATACATGCAAAGTCGAACTGCTCCATAGGGTTTTAAAGTTTTTAACCTTTTTAACCAGGCCTGTCTTCCAAGGCACCTCTAAGTGGGTTCAAACCATCAATCTTTTGGCTAGTAGTCAAGCAGTTAACCATCTGTGCCACCCACAGACTCCATTAAGGATTACAACTAAGAAAACCCTGTGGAGTAGTTCCACCCTGTAACACATGAGGTCTCCATGGGTCAGAATCGACTCCATCTCAACAGGTTTAAGTGTGTGCTATTATTACTCCAGGCAACTTTTCATTCATTCATTTCACTGATAACCATTAACATTTATGTATCAGGTACTGTGCTAGACAGTGGAGGTAGAGAGAAATGAGAATTTGAAGTCCCTGCCCTGATCTGCTAACCTATCCAAAACTGCCAACTTCTGACATGTGGAAGCAATGACTGTTGTTGAGGTAGGGCAGATATCCACCAAAGCTACCTGAGAAGGAAAAATGAACACCTGAGACCTGAGCTTCTCACTGGGAAAGCCCAGCCAATTCCACCCAGTGACAGAAATCCATCCCTCCAGGAAACGAGTAAGCACAGGTGCTTTAATCTCAGGAGAGCAGCAAAAATAGGTGGAAAAAAAAAAAAAAAACCTACTGTGGTCTCAGCATTATGGCAGGCAGTTAATAGTCCCTAGAAAGGCATGGAGTGCAAACCAAGAAAGATTGCATCTATCAGTGTTCATCAGTGTTCACATTATCATAGCACATAAGCTACTGGGTGGGGCACCCTTCACAGAAAGCAAGAGAGGGGACAGGAAACATCATTGTAATTCCATAATCTTGCCGTTAAAAAACTTATTAGAGTTGACCATAGGAGGTAAGTGTTATTATTAGATCTTTAGTTACATGTTCTGTGTATGTATATCTATGTCCATATTTTCACATTTTTAACAATACCTGTGAAGGATATCACAACCCTTGTAGTATGTAGTAACCACAATCATCTATAGGCATATAAAAACATACTAGTATATTTTATCCTCAATTAGAATCCATGCTTATGGAAACACAAGCACAAAGCATGAGAAAAATCTGCAAATGGAGTCCTTGTCCCCAAAGACCAACACCCACCTCCTGCCATGCCTCTCCTTTCTACCCCACTCCGATTTTAGCAATAAATACAAGGCATCTAGGCTGGAAGAAATTCACAATCACTGTCCACTTTTGTCACAGCTGCTGAAGACACAGCCCTTGCTCCTAAGCAAAGGCTCCCAACCAGAGGCTGCTATGCAGCACCACGCCCCATGCTCAGACAGAAAGGACGGAAGCCACACTGAGAATGAAGGATGTACCCCAGGGAACATCATCCAAACAGAAACAAAAGGGAACCCATGCAAACTTGGCCCTAGGATTTGGGCACAGCAGCATTTACTGGGGCTCGTAAGGCAAGTTATTAATGCTGAATTTCTTTTTGTTTCCTTAAAGGTGGCCTAAATGATACCTAGAAGAATGGGCGTGGCTCTCAAGGCCATATCACAGGCTGAGTTAATAAGAAAAACCATAGAGGTTTTAAGGCTAGGAGGAAATAAAATCCATCCCCTGCCTCTCCCAACAAGAGGAGAGAGAAATGCCCACTGATGTAAAGCACAGCAGCACGTATGCAGCATGTCTCATGCACATGAGAGCATGAAAGCTGTGGTTCCTTAGGGAAATATGTCTAAAAATTGAGCTTATATCTCAATCAGCTCTATTTATTTTTAAAAGGACCATCTACGGCTCTTTTCAAAGACAATGGGCATTGGGAAAATCTTGTGCATTATAAACACCCCACAATATTTCTTCAATAACATAGTCAATGATATCAGGTAGAGGTAAAAGGGAGAATGATGATTTAAACCCAACTTGGTTCTACCTAGCAGTAGGATTCCCACCCAGCCCAACTCCTTCCCCTGGAGAGTGTTTCTTTCCTGGGACCTGTTGGTGCGCATTTGTGTGCATTTCATGCAGCTCACGTGCATGAAAGAGGCATGAAGCTGCAAAAGAAACGAACCACTTGACAATAAAGTACACTGGGGCAGGAGTGGCTCCTTCCTGCCTTGGGAGGGGAAGGTCCTGCATTGCAATTGCAAATGTAGTGTGTTCCAGGAGTAACAGAACAAGTGCAAACACAATCATCCTACAGCAAAAGTTGGCAAATTAACTACTGTAGCAGGTAAAGCTCTGCCCCTGGGGCTGGTACTGAATCTCCCCAGGCAGCAGATCACTTCCTTTGTTCGCCTTGCAAAGATGGAGTAGCCACTCATTCCTCCAGTACACACACACACACACACAAGGCCACAATGGTTTAATCAAATTCACTATAGACAAAGCACAATCGCAATGCTTCGTGCTAATCTAACAAATGTCAATGTGATTTTTTAATGGCCACCCAAGCCCATCATATATCCCTACAAAGGGGGCCGTATTTTCATTGCATTCGCGAGGGATCTGGGGTCCGGCCGGGGTTATTTTGTCCGAGACATCGCCTTGCTGGACGCAGCTGAAGACCTACCTGACTATGGCACGTCCCCTCTACTCCCCGCCCTAGGCGCACGCCCAGCATCTTGACACCAGTCGACCGCAGGAGGCTCGGTCTTGCACACAATGGCAGTTGGACCGGGCATATACACAGCGTGCGCCTGCGACCTCAAACTAAAATCTGCTTTAAAAATTCTCAGCCTTTTCTTGAGATGGAGGGAGAAATGACATGAAAATGTAAAATGCATGATCATTCCCGCTGCAGTCACGTTAGCTGTCCAGTACCGAACATGACGCACCAAAATATGAATCGGGGTGAATGCAGACACGACGGGGACACGGCGAGGGTCATGGTTCATACACCCCATCAGAGCCGCGGCGTGGGAAAGAGGAGCGCAGAGCCGCAGGGCCGGAGCTGGGAGAGGGGCGCGGTCAGACTGCCAAGTAGCCCAGGGAAAAGGTGTCATTTCTCTGTAAACTGCCCGCCGAAAGGAACCTTAAACAAAAGCACATCTCAGCCGGGGACCGCGCACGCGAACATCCAAGGCGGTGTGGGGTCCAGGAAGGGGCAGGAGCCGTGTGCTATTTGGGAACTACTCAGTGATAGGGAAGAAGAATAAATAATCCAAAGTTCTCCGCGCCACTGTTTGGGTTTCCTTTGTTTTGTTTTCCTTAAGCTCCAGGGTCGCGCGTCTGTCTGGCGCCTGCCGCGCCGGCTAGACTGACCGCCACTCGCCACTACCAGGACCCCCGGGTCCCGGTCCCTCCCTGGGGACCGGGCCAGAGAAGCCGGTGGGGTCAAAGCTGCCCTAGCCGGCGCACCAGCCAGAGAGCAAGCGAGGGAGGGAGAAAAGGAGCGGCGCTTGGCCCCAGGACTCACCGTGATCCGCGGGATGTTCTTCTTGCCTTGGTAGGACATGGTGGCGGCGGTGGTTGCAGCAGCTGCCTCCCTCCCTCTTTCCTTTGCTCCTACTCGCCTGCGCCTTCCTCAACTCACACCGCCCCGAGATCAGGTGGAGCGAATGGTGCGCTGGCCCCGGCCACCGCCTCCTCTCTCCTCCGCCCCCCTCCCGGGCTCCCGCAGAGGCTGCCAGAGACAATAGTAAATCTCCCTGGTCCTCCTTTCACCCCCGACCCTCCCTCCCCCCGCCACACACACCCTTCTCCGCTCGCGTTCACGCCTGTGTGTGTGTGTGTGCGTGTGTTGTTATTTATTTTCTTTTTCTTTTGCGGTGCCAGCTGGGACTCTGTAAGGCAAGAATGGCTGATCCGCGACTCCTCCCTCTTCTCTCTTATCCCTATTGATTTTCCTCTTTGCATCTGCCTCACCCACTTTTCCTTTTTGCTCTTCTTTTTCTTGCGTTTTTTTTTTTTTTTTTTAGACTTGGGAGTGTGGCCTAGCTAGCCTGCTCCACAGCCACCAGAGGGCGCCAGGGACTTTTCGGGTGGGGATGTTGCAGCCTTGGGTGTCCGAAAAGAAATAACCAGCAACGCCCTCCTGGCCTCACAAGCCAAACTCGGCTATGCGCCAACGCTTCGGATCGGCTTCTTGTGTGATTTCCCATCATCACCACCCTATGTTCAGAAAGGAGATGGCTCGGGTCTTCTTTCCCGGAATTCGCTCTCCTCCGCCATCGTGCAGGCTGGATGCGGCGCCCGCCGCCTTTGTTATAAGAAAAGGCTGGGCGCCGCCTCTGCTGGTCGCAGGGTTTGTAAACAGCGGGTGCAATTCCTTAAAAAGCTGAGAACTGGTCAGACTTTGTACAGCCTGGCCCACCCGCTGGCATCCCAAGAGCGTGAAGATACATATCAGAAAATCTAAGCAATTATTCACTCTTGGAGGGCTGTGGGAGGCACGGTGACAGTTAATATGCACCATTCTCTGTATTTTTTAAATGGTCTCAAAATAATAATTTTAAAGAAAGAACATTAACGCTGCTCTCTGAGTAAAAAGTAGAAAACACCTGTGTGGGAAGGCAAACGCCTTGGATTGTTACTGGCGAACAGCCATGGATTTTGTGTGTAGTACTACCACTGCTCTCCCTTGGTAGTGAAACACGTGCACTCCTCAAAATCCTGAGTTTACTTTAGGCAAGACAGACAGGCAGCAGTTAATGTTATCAGAAGCAAAAGCATGGCTTTTCACCTCTTGAATATATTGTCCTTCAGTTACCAGCTAAAATCAAACCACTAAGAACGAAGCCACTGTGGGTGGGGTCTGAGTAGTGGCTGGAGTTGTGGAGCTTTCTTGGCTCTCCTAAAAATAATCAAACATATGATTTTAATAATAACCAAAAAAGGGTGCCTTCCTATGCAAATATTACAAAACAGTTACAAAAAGAAACCTCTCTTACCACCCTGACTGGCTGTCAAACCTTAACGCCTTATTAAATGGAAATTCTGTAGATGTCACTAAGCATGGTGAGGTCTCTGTTAGGCATCTTGAATGCACTTATCTATAAGGCTAGCCACGGATCACACTTTTGAACATCACTTCATTTAAACTGAAGGTTTACAGGCAACAATATTGTGGGTTTGGTTCCAGACCACAGCAATAAAGCAAAAATTGCAATAAAACAAGTCACATGATTTTTTTGGTTCCCCAGCACATGTAAAAGTTATGTTTACACTATAGTCTATCAAGTGTGCAATAACATTAGGAAAAAGTTTGAAATACTGTGAGGTGAGAATTTCCCAAAATGTGACACAGAAGCACAAAGTAAGCCCAGGCTATTGGGACAATAGCACCGAAAGACTTGCTAGAGGCAAAGTTGCCACAAACCCTCAATTAGTGAAAAATGCAATGAAGTGGCACAATAAAAGAAGGTATGTTTGTACTCTGCAACAGAAAAAATGTCAGGGCATCCACAGAAAGAGGATGTATAATACTCCAGTTTGGGCTTGCCAGCCTGAAATAAACCAGTTCTGGTCCTATAATCAAAGGACAGACTAAAGGTCCACTTAAACACCCTCCCCTCCTCCTCAAGTAAATTAATCCAGGTTTCTGCTATTCATGGTTAAGGGAACTGAATGCTGTCTTCACAGGAAAAGTCCTTAGCATTCTCCACTTCATTTCTGTGATTTTCTGGCAAGGAGGATGAATGTCAGGCAAAGGTCACCCTCCCTATACTCTTTTGCAAAGCACAGAGAGGAAAAAAAAAAAAAAAAAGATTGAAGCCAGAGGCACACCCTGAACATTTTGCTTTGTTCTTTAAAGCATTAATGCTGAGACCACTAGCTAACAGTTGTGAAATTACAAAGCATTCTGGGGGATTGGCATGCAAATGAGCAGGATTAAATTTAGAAACTAGTAAAAGGAGAATTAACTACATACTTGGGAACCCTGCAGAGTTCTATCTTTCCCATAGATTTCACTGCCCAAAGTTTGCTGGTAGTGATACTCACAAAAGTGTTTCTTAAGAGCTCTGCAAACTTCACACAAATCATAATTAAAAGAAACAAAAGAAAAAAAAAAAGTATTTCTTCAGAAAAGAAAAATTTGTAAGGGCTTTTAGAATCATAAACCATACCACTGCCTGCCTCTCTCTCCCTCTCCCTCTCCCTCTTTCTCTTTCTCTCTTTAATGGCATTGGTTTCTTTGCCTTTATTGCATCCTAATTATTTCCTCAGTTACTGTCATTATAATCCAGAACATCCTCTACTAAATAAATTTACACCATATTTTCGATCACTTGATGAGTATGTGTGTGTGTGTTGTTTCAAATTACAAAACTTGATTAAACCCTTTGAGATCAGGTTTGCAGGCAAGAGGCCACGCCATATATGAACTGTTATGTGTAGCCCCGGCTCAGACTACTGTGACAGACAAGCCATGCAAAGGAATGCATAATAACCAGCTAATCAGTTCAAGCTGTTGACATCACAAGAAATGTACAACAAACACTATTTCTTCTCTTCTTTCCTCTTTCAAACATCTTTCTCTTGCTTAATTCAAAATAAAGTGTTTAAGATGAGTTTGAAGGAAAAAGATGTCCTTGGCTATACAAGGGTTCCAAGGAATAAGAAAGGCAGCCATCAATACAGGCTGCCTCTGTGTCTGGCCAAGAGAAAGAGGGGTGGAACCAGTATGGATGTTTTCCACAGTAGAGTGATTCTGAATGGTTTTCCTTGGATACACCACAGTACTAGGCTTTCAGGAACTCAGGAAACATGAGAGAAAAGGAAAAGAGCGGGTGAGAGACAGAGATGGAGACACAGTGAGAGACCTGATTTACCGTCACAAATAAATATAATTTTTGCCACCAAACCTGCTACATCTGCAAATTTCCACATCTCAGTGGTTACTTTCTTCTCACACTCAAAGTTTCATGTTATCCTTGATTTCTCTCCCACTCTCACATACTGTATCCAATTTATTAGCAAATGTGATTGGTTCTATCTTTTAAACATATCCAGACTATGATCTCTTCTCTCTGTTATCTGCAAAGCTTCTTCTTGTGTCTGTTGTTGTTGTTGTTATGTGTAATCTAGTCAAACCTGACTCATAGCGACCCCTCCTTGGGTTTCCAAGGCAGTATCATTACGGAAGTAGGTTGCCCAACCTTCCTTCCGAGGAGTGGCTGGTGGGTTTGAACCGCCAGCCTTCTGGTTAGCATCATATGCCTTGTTGTTGTTGTTAAGTGCCGTCGAATCATATGCCTTAGGCACTACACTATCATCTCTCACCTGGACTACTGCTAATAGGCTTCATTACCATCAGTTATTTATTTGTTCATTCTCACAAAATTTACTGTGTGCTTACTGTGTAACACTATTTTTCTAGGTGCTAGTGCTACAGAAGTGAAAAATAGTTAAGTCCCAGAACTCATGGAGTTTATTCAGAACAGCACCACCTGTCACTTGGTACCTCCTTCCCTGCTTTATCTTTCTTCATGGAGATTTTCACCACCTGCTGTATTAACTTATTATTGGTGTATTGTTCTCTCCCTCACTAGAATGTAAGCTCCTTGAGAGCAGATCAATTGTTATATTTTATTCACTTCTGTGTCCTAAATGCCTAAAATAGGGCCTTGCCCGTAGATATTGTTTGATAATTATTAAGTGAGTTAAATAAGATTTTTTAAATTGTGTTTGATGAAAAAAGGCGCGTGGTTGAAATCTGGATTTAAGAACATCTATCTTTGCTTCTCTAAAGCTTCTTAGAGTTTCCTGATTATAGATGTCAGAGGAGCTGAATCCAAAATCACTTTACTTATATGATGCAGTCAGAAAATTCCAAGACAACATATGGGCCAAAGAATGAAGGCTCAGCAGAATAGCTTTGGTACCTAACATTGATTAGAAACTGTGACCTTGAAAGGAGCTCCAGCAAAGCTTATGGAGAAGACTAGAAGCCTTGAGTTAATTTGAAGAATTTCTAAGACAACCAACTAAATAGGTTTTTTGTTTGCTTGTTTGTTTTTAGTTTAGAGTGGAAATTAGGGACTAGTATGTAATATACTGATTAACAATATGACCGTGGAAGTGAGACAGACCTGGGTCCGTATTCCAGTTCAGCTACTTCCTACTTCTATGACCTTCATCAGATTACTTAAACTTTCTGAGCCTCAGTTTTCTCTAAAATGAGTGTCTTAATACCTACTTCACATTGTTTTGTGATGATTTATCAATGCATTCAACAGACTTTTATTGAATGCCTACTATGGGCACCTAGAAAGTAGATGAAAAATATTTGAGCACACCAGACAAAAATCCCTGCCCTCATGAATTTTACATTCTAGGGAAAGAGACAAGCCACAAATAAAAGTTTAAAATATCTAATATTTTAAATGGAGATAAATATATTAAGGATAATAAAACAGAGATGGGGAGGAGAGAGTCATTCTAGTGTGTTCAGGGTGGGCTGAACTTTCAGAAGTGAAGGAAGACTAGGTGAGATGATGGTAGCTTGAGCCCAATATTAATAGAGGAAGCAGTAAGAAATGGTGAGATACTGGATATATTTCAAGGGAAAGCCAACAACATTTGCTGCTGTGTTTGATTAGGGTGTGAGAAAAAGAATCAAGGAGCACACTAATCCTTTGGCCTAAG